GTCCAGTATTTACACCATACTGACTTGGACTAAATGATGTGTGTATGAATCCGTCTGCCCTGTTGGGTGGTGAGACCCCAGAAGGCAAAGGTTTTTGTCTTATTCATCTTTATAGCTTTCATAAGAGCTAGAACGGTGCCTGGAGTATATCATGTGCTCAACAAAGGCTTGTTGGCTAAATTCAAAGCAGTAACAGAGGGTCAGATCTAAAAAAATTAAGGATTTACTTCCCATTGAAATTATTTTCCTTGTAATACTTTTATATAAACACCTGTCTGAGCAGAACCATCAACCTGTAAGAAACGGTTTAAACTCTCCGCTCTTCATACTGTTTTACAAAACTAGACAATGAAAGACAGATATTGATGGATTTCAGACCACCACCCAAGTTTATATTCAGCCACCGGCTTCTTTGAGAAGTGGCTTTAAATTGTTTTTCTGCTCTTGGACGATAATTTGGCATTTTACTACAGGTTAGTTCTAAATTCTGGAAAAAAAAAACGTTTAAATTATTGTGAATCATTCCTCCTACTGTATTCCATTACAGAGCTATAAAAATGTCAATAGTCAAGGCAGTTTGAGCATTACATCAGGGAATTAATCATTGCCCCACGTGCCTCGTGAGAACACACTCAATGCACAGGAAGTGGCACAGTGTCAAAATCGACACGCATCAGTACTTCAATCAGAAATCCTGTTAACACTACCTTCCCCCCAAATCATTTCAGGCGGATAAAGCAGGAAGACTGCAGATACAGGTTCTTTTTTTCTAATCTCTTTTCAAAGCTGTGTATAGAGATAGAATTCACTTCGAGGAGCCATCACAGACTTCCCTCTGTGGAATGTGAATAAAGACTTTGGTTCGACTTTCTGCAAACTTTGTAACTTTGGCATGAGCCTTCCTCAAAGAACCACGCTTCTGAAAAGAGTTTCAACTCTTGCTGTTGTATAAGGAGACGGGAAGGAATAGACGTTACATCAGCCTTGGTGCTGAGCATATTCATGATTTAACTTCTGTGGCCTCACAGCAGGGAGGAAAGAGATGGAGAACTATACAGCAGCGAATCCCAGACACCCTAGTGGAAAGAACTACAGTTATTTTATGCACTACTAAGAAAGAAAAACAATGCCAATTAAATCGTGACACACCGTTGATTGTCGGACATGCTTTGATTTCAGAGATGTTACAATGGGAAAAACTGTGCATCTCAGAACAGACGAGCTGTGGATTTTAAGCAGTGCTAATGATTTCCTCTGCATTTCATGCAAAAGTAATAATAAGCCCCAGAATGCATAAAATGCTAGCCTTGAATTTGACCTTCCTTCGGACAGTCTCCTCCATCTTTCCAGGATTCACAGCTAGGTGGTTTGGGGAACAACCGAAATAAAACCAGGCACTTCCTATGGTCCCTTCCTAAGGGGTCTCCAAGACTGAGTTGCCAGATAAGATGCAGGATGTCCAGTTAAATTTGAATTTCAGATAAACGACGAATATTTTTTAGTATAAGTATGTCCCCAACACTGCATGAGATATAGTAAAACAAATTAACTGAGTGCCCTGTATTTTTATTTGCTAAATCTGGCAGCTGTGCTCCCAGGGTAATTCTGACTGCATTTGACCTTCACCACATGCTTTTTACTTTAAGGAACCTTAACCTTTACCTGTCAGGAGCCTCCAGTCACTTCTTACAACAACTCTGAGAGGTAGGAATTATTGCTGGTATTTTAGGGCTGAAGGAGCTAAATTTCCTCCTCAGACTTGAATGTCTCATTAGATTAGTTTGGTTTGGTCTGAATTCTGATCATGGCTGTAAATCCTTTCACACAGTAGTTAAGGTCCAAAAGATAAAGGTCACTGGGAAACCATGAAGATGGTAAAGGCACTTTTGCCCCTGGAAACAACCTCTGTGGGTTGGTCATTGGTCACTGTCAGGGGACAGTATATCCAGCCTATAATAATAATAACAATAATAATAGTCATGGTAGCAGCAGCAGCAAACCCTCAGCACCTCTTACTACGTGTCACGCACATCACTAATCACACCTCTTACTACTCCCTTTTTACAGTTCCAGAGCAGGGTTTGCAAAGGAAAGCCTCCATACTGTCGACAGAGTCGTAGGCGACGGCCTTAAAGGCAAAGGTATTATTTCTGTTATGTGTATGGCCTCAGTCTATACACACAAACTTCTCTCAAATGCACTGCTTCTCAAGTGCCTGAGAAGTTTGAAAAGAATCCCCACACCCAGGCTGCCCCCCAGACCAATTAAATCAGAATCCCTGGGGCGGAGCCAGGCATCTGTAGTTTTCAAAGTTCTCTGTGTGATTGCAGTGGGCAGCCGGGGTTGAGCACGGCCATTCTAAGGAAAGCTACATGCTTCCATCTGGGGCTTTTAGGACGGAAACCCCTAAGTTTTAAAAACCATGTACAGCAGAGCTTTGCAAATACAATTAGTTTTTGTTTTACTTATTCCCTGTTTTCCACAGACAACTTATAAGCATTGGCACAACGTTGCCATCTGTAAGGCATATGACAGTAGCAGACGGGAGCTTAATAACCGAAGAGGCATTAACGTTTGCAGGCCCTAAATTATTTGCGTTCATCTGGTACGATCTGTGTGATGAGACCACTTAATGCTGGATTTCAACATCTTCCGACGGCAGTACCAGAAGTGGGAAGGCCATATTGCCTGGGCTTCGCATCGTTCCTTGTCCTCCTATTGAATTGTTACAAGATGGATTTATAACAGACCTAAAGCTAGTATCAAAATGAAAATCAGTTCCTGAGTAGAAAAACAGCAATCCCGTTTGCCTCGCCTGTAGCCATTGCGTCATATCTGCTTCTGCAAGGAGGGAAATGACTTCTTAATGTGGTTTTCTTCCACCAAGGAGAATTAAATCTATGTGGCAAAACGTAAAACCAGCGTGCTGGCAGCCAGATTCTGAGCGGAAGATCCATGACGTATTTGTGTCCTGGTTATACGCTAATGAAACTCATTTAGGCTCAAACTTACGCCTAGTAGAAATAGTGGTCAGCTGGAGGGCCAGGCTATCGTTGTTCCCTCACTGTTTTGCCTTCTGTATCAGAGTTTGCTCTGAAATAATGGGAACATTTCTCCATCGGCGGCAAGCTGCCAGGGTGTGGGGCGGGGGGTGTCTCTGGGTTAGAGTGAGAGTGAGTTGGGCCTGAAATAGCAAACTCCACTATTTTAGTCGTGAGGCTTTTTTTCCTGGAGTCGGCAGGCTCCTTTGTCAAAGGATCTGGCTTTTGGGTGACGGTACCTGGTGAGCTGCAGCAGGATCTGTGGAGCTGTTCACTCTTTGGTGGCACTGCAGGATAGACTAAAAGGCAAAATTTGCCAGGGACACCCCTGGCATTACTGCTCCTTGCTGGGTGATCTCCAATTGGTGAATGAGCTTCCTCGGAACTCAATCTCTTCCTTGGTGAGGAGTGAAGCTGTGCCTGCCCTGTGTATGGACTATTTTGAGGATTAAACGAAATGATGCGCGAGGAAATAATACGTGGAGAAGAAACCGCCCTTTACATCATGAATACTAGTTATCATTGGTGCTATTCGTTTGCCTCAGTCTCCTCGAATGACTTGACACGAAATAGTACATTGTGCCTCCCGTAAGAATTTATACCCTCAGCATTTTACAGTGTCTAGAGCCACGCAGAGGAATAACAAATTTAGTTAATAAAACTAAATTGCAATAGGAGACTAAGGGGAAAAACTGACCTCTTCTAAAGAAGAGAGTTCTGACAACACCCACTCTCTCTCTCTGATAGAACTGAAATTTTATTCACTCAATATGTAAATCTGAGACATATACAAAATGTTTTTAAAATAAATATGGGTGTCTGAAGAGGATTTTTAAAGGGTTCCTTTGTCTAAGACCAACTGTTATTTTTTGATGCCTCCTCATTTAATTTTTCTCTTTTCCTTTTTTTTTTTTTTCCCACAATCCCACCCAGCCTTGCCCACGTCAACACAAAAGAGTGGAGTTTTAGGAGATGGGAAAGAGATTTTAGAGTGGTTTACCGGAGAGAGCTGTTGAACAGCCAAAATCCCACCTGCAAACACACCCAAGTGAGAGGGCTGGGAGGTTTCCCCCTTCATCTTCTTTCGTTTTTGGGTACGCGGGCCTCTCACTGTTGTGGCCTCTCCCGTTGTGGAGCACAGGCTGCGGACGTGCAGTCTCAGCGACCATGGCTCACGGGCCCAGCCGCTCCGCGGCATGTGGGATCTTCCTGGATCGGGGCACGAACCCGTGTCCCCTGCATCGGCAGGCGGACTCCCAACCGCTGCGCCACCAGGGAAGCCCTCCTCATTTAATTTTTTATTTAAAAAAATTTTTATTTAAAAAATTTTTATTTAAAAATAAAATAAAGTTTTTCTTTGTTTGTTTTTACCGTTTGCCTGCTTGAAGCCTCTTTTAGTGCATGTACTCTTTTATTTCTTACTCAGTACTCATGGCCCTTCTATTCATTATTCTCATAAATTAGCCCGGGCTGTTTTGGTTCGCTGAGCAAAACTGCTCAGAGCTCATAATAACAGAGGCTAAGCCAAAGAGAAGAGGACATAAACCCCAGGCCAGCTTGGGGAACGATTGTGGGTAGGTGGCAAACGTAATGCCTTCAGCGTCTGGGAAGTAAAACGAACGGATGATTCTGGCCAAGCGCAGTGTTTCAGAGTGGTGAGGGTTTTGGTACGTGCAGAATGTCCCCCGTCTGTGACGCCCACTCCCAACCTCAGCAGATAATTACAAGGCGGTGAAGGGACCACATGTAGCAGCCTAATCTAGTTATTGTATTACAAAAGCTGGAAATGTGGATTTGTACACAAAACCTCCCCATTTTCAAATTCTGGCAACTAATAAAATGAAAAGACACACGCGCCCCCGGGCCTCTGATTTGCGAATGCTGTTCGGCCGCTCCCCCCAAGACTTGTTCACGGAGGTCCCAAGGGCCTATTAATGAGCCTAGTTTTCTTCTCCAAAGCTCCAGAAACATGACAAAGAGAAGGAGGACTCCCCAGCCTTGTGGAGATCGGAGGAGGAGATGGCAGCCGAAGCCGCGGCGCTGCGGGGCTACTTTCAGTGACGCAGGTAAAGACTGTACGTTTACTTCATCATCGCTCAGAACCCCACCCCCCGCAAGAGCCTCACTCAAGAAATAATGAGGATTGGGCTTCCCTGGTGGCGCAGTGGTTGAGAGTCCGCCTGCCGATGCGGGGGACGCGGGTTCGTGCCCCGGTCCGGGAAGATCCCGCGTGTCGCGGAGCGGCTGGGCCCGTGAGCCATGGCCGCTGGGCCTGCGCGTCCGGAGCCTGTGCTCCGCAAAGGGAGAGGCCACAGCAGTGAGAGGCCCGCGTACCGAAAAGAAATAATGAGGATGCCGAAAAGCAGCCGTACCCACTTTCTACAGTGGTGGTTGCACCAGCATTAAAGCCCGAGGGGAGAGGACCCTGACCCTTGAGGCACTTGGTCCAACCTCTGGGTCTCTCTTCCCGACTCCCCATCACCCTCTCCATACCGCTCCAGTCTGTTCCCTTCCTTCCAGCCCACCCCAGGCCCTTGT